AGTCTGATTGGGGAAATCTTTATTTTTTTATTTTATTTTTTATTTTATTTTTTGTGGAATGAGGTATTGAACTCAAGCCCTTGCACTTGCCAGGGAAGTGCTTATTCTACTGAGCCATCTCCCCAGCCCCAGAAATTTTTAAATAAATTAAAAATAAAATAACATGTCACAGAAAAGGAACAACATAATCTTTCTGTGCTCTCAACTTAAATTTATCATCATTTGAAATAAAGGCACAAGGCCAGGGATATAACTCAGTAGCACAACAACTGTCTGGCAAGCACGAGGTCCTGATTTCAATTTCTGGTGAAAAAAGAAAAACAAAACAAACAAACAAAAACCAGGTATGGTGGCACATGCCTGTGATTCTAGCAGGAGGCTGAGGCAGGAGAATCATTGTGAGTTCAAGACCAGGTTGGGCTACAAAGTGAAATCAAGGCCAGCCTGAACTGCACAGAGACCTTGTCTCAAAAAGAAAAATAAAAAACACATACACACGCATAAGCAATTGGCAAATAAGAATGACAAGTTCTGATTACATAAATGAATCATAATCCAGAACCCAGGAAACAAAAGCAAATCCTTACCTCCTTCCAGTTATCTCAGTGGGACCTCCAAAATAGTACAGGAGAAAAATTCAGCTCCAAACCTTCCAAATGTCAGGATATACTGATTTTGTGTTCCCAGAAATCAAAGAATGCATGCTAGGAAAGAATGGAGGTAAGTGTAGGAAAACTTTTGAAAGAATAGTAGGAATACCTCCTAGGAGACAGGCAGGGTTCTGAGTGGGTTATCAATAAGTCCACTTCTCTGAGAAAGTTTTCTGGAGCAAAATCTCCAGGTGGGTACAATTATTACAGACAACGAAGCTGGGTAGAACTATTGTAGGCAGTCAGACAGGGCTGGACCCTTGAGGAGGTCTGTGCAGAAGACAGGAACTAATGGAGACTGGCTAGAGGCACATCTAAAAAGGACTGAAGTCAAAATGGCCACATTTCCATTCTTCCGTAAGGAATATTCGGAAGCTTGAGATTATTGGTTATCTCTGCTTTGAGATTTCCCATCATCTCACCGGGGTGGGCCATCGTTTCCCACCCACTGAGACTAGGACTAAGACCACCAAGACCAAGCTTGGACTGCCTAGTGAGACCAGTCCAAAGAAACTGAGAAAGAAGCTGGCTGCTGTGGCGCGTACCGCTAAGCCCAGCTCTCGCAACAGTGAGGCAGGAGGATCGCTGTGTAGCCTGGGCTCCACGGGGAGATCTTTCCTCAAAATACAAAAGGGAAGCGCCAAACACCACCTAACGTCGTCTGGCGTTTTACAACTTTTTGGGCCACTATTCATCAAGATTCTGCTTTTCACCTCGGGTCCCTCTTATTTAACGTGGTTATAAAGTAAAGCTTCAATATCGAGGACTTGCTAAGGCCCTTGTCCTTGCCACACTACCAGAAGCTGTTGCATCACACAACAGAACCCATCTTCACTGTCTCCTTCAGGTCACCAGGGTGACACCTCTGGATCAGGCCACCACTGCTGGGCAGGAAGCAGCCGTGGGAAGAGGGACCTGCAGCCCCTCTGCATCTCATAGTTAAGAGCAAGGAAGCAAAGGCCCGAGGGAGGGTGTGTGAGGTGGAAGAGAACAGAGAAGGGAGGAAGGCGACAAGGAAAACCACAACTCGTACCCTCAGACTACACCGCCAGGACTCCTGCTACCAAGGCTACCTGTTTCTGTACTCCCTGGGTTTGCTTCTGCTTTTTTTCCAGGCCCATCACACCAAAAGCTCGTAAGAATACTCGAAGTCTACCCTACAAATCACCTTAGTTGATAAAGAAAAAGAATGTTAAGATAAAGGAACAGGATGAGAGTTCAAAGTATTTTTTAGGCAGAATGTTAGATCACCCCTCTCGATGATGATGGTGGTGCTGGTGCTGGTGGGATACATCCTGCCCTTCTCTTCAACTAGCCATTATCTATCTGTGAATGGCCCGTCCTCCCCTCCAAACCAAACCCACAAAGGAACTTCCTATAGAATCACAAAGTCCACAGACTTCCACCCACACATAAATATGTATTTCCAGCTCCATTTTCTCATTTTTCTTTCTTTCTTCTCCTTTAAAAAAATAAATAAAATAAATAAATAAATAAATAGGGTCTTGCTATGTACATTAGCCCAGGTTGGCTTTGAGCTCATGACAGTCCTCCTGTCTCAGCCTCCCAAATGCTGGGATTACAGGAGCGGTTGAGCTAGCCTTGCACGCCTAACTCTTGAGGCCCTACATGTTATTTGTGTGTGCACATTTAAAATTCAGTCTAATACATCCCTTTATGCCTCTTAAAAAAAATTCTAGCCCAGCATGGTGGTGCACATCTATAATCCCAACACTCAACACTCAGGAGGCTGAGGCAGGAGAACTGTTGCAAATTCAAGACCAGTCTAGGTTACAAAGTAAGCTCAAGACAGCCCAGTGAGACCTTGTTTCAAAAACACAGACAAACACACAAAAACCTCCTCTGGCGGCATCACCCACACCTTCGGTTAACCCCTGCTTTGCTGAGCATGAGAACCGTATTTCTGCATGAGGCACCGTCTGAGCTCCATCTTGCAAAAGTGCCAAGCTCCATACTCCTACCAAACAGTGAAACGCAAGAAAAGTGGGCACTCTGTCCCAGAGGCTGTGTCCACTAAGTAGCCAGGCGAGAGCCTCCTCCCCAGAGAATTCCTCTGCCACCAGCCACTTGGCAAAAGCCACATCCCGCAGCTCACATCAGCAAGTCAGGAAGAACAGAAACAGCATTTTCTGCTGCATTCAATATCAACATCAATTGTTGGTTTTTAATTTCTGTTTTGTCACAACGATCCAACATTAGAGAGAAACGTATGGATGAACTTCACACCCACTTCTGACTTACAGCAAATCAAGACATTATGCCAATTTTACCCCAGCTGGACATGAAAGTACTTATTTTCAATGGCAGGCAAGTAATAAATGGCAGGCCCTAAGTGGTGGAGAGGCAGGTTAGAAGCTGAACCACAGGGGATAGTCAGATTCTGCCAATTGGAGGGAAAATGAATATATGAATACTTCCTCTTGTTGGACTCTATCTCCGGCAAATTTTGAGTGTTCTGAGTTAGGATTAGGGCCTGAGTTTCCACAACTCATTAGCCTTAGGCAGACCTACTGGAATCAAGCAAGTGAACCATGTCAAAATCAGCGCCCGTCTCAGAGCCCACCAGCGAGCACAGCACTAACCAGACAACAGGCGGGCAGGGCAGAGCGGGCACTCAGGCTGCTGGCTCTGGGAATCGATGGCTTATTTATAGCCCTCTGCACAGGCAGCTGCAGGGGCCAAGGCCAGGCCAAGATTCGTCACACCCTGGCCACTGGCCACCTGATTTGCTTAGTCACACGGTGACATCCCACAGGGCAATGTACCCAGCCTGTTAGACACTTGGCCCAGCATCAGGTCAGGCCTGGCTTCACCGCGGGAACTGGCTTTCACTGGCCTCACGTGACGGCCTCAATGTGTGGGGCGGGCAGGCCACTGTCACTCACTGGACACTCGGGCATGTGACTAAGGGGTCCCCTCCCTCATCTTAAGTGCCTCCAGGTGCCCCCTCCCCAGCTTCCCTCCTCCCCAAGAGAGCAGGGAAATGCTGGCCAGGACACCTCGCGGCAGGGCCAGCCCAGGTCCCCCCACACGCACTGCACGTGGCGGTCGGAACACACAGTCCCTAGGGTCAAGTTGAGCAAAGATGAGGAGGCAATGCATGCACCCCCCTGCCAGACACACAGAACACTGCTGGAAATGCTCCACAGCTGTGGGCCACGCCCCTAACCTCGGGATGAAGGAGGATCATCTCAGCATGCATCGAAAAATCCGTGTCTCCGATTACACTTGACCCCTGAAAATTTCACAAGTCACTGCAGATGATATAAAGCACAAAGACCTACCACAAAGGACTATATGTGAGGAGACACTCTGCAATATGTGAAGCAGAGATCTACCCAGATTACAAGAATGAAGACCATAAAACAAGGAAAAGTCACAGAAAACAAGACAAAGCCTAGACACACCTGATCAGGAGAAATGCGAATAGTAAATCCAGGTGTGAAACATGCGTACACACTAGCAACTGGGTAAATGAAAGCAAAGCACTGCTTTTCACCTAGATTGGCACTACTTGGTTTGATTGATTTGATACAGGGTCTCTCTACACAGCTCAGACTCAGTGCTCCTCCTGTCTCAGCCTCCCCAGTGCTGGGATTACAGGTGTGTGCCGCCACACCCGGTTCCAGGGCTGGCACAACAGCACAGCATGCGGTATTAGGGATCGAACCCGGGTCCTCATACTTGCCAGGCAGGCGCACAGACCACTGAGCTATCTCCCCAGTCTCCTTTGGCTGGTTTTTAAAGACAGATCATTAGGGGCTGGTGAGATGGCTCAGTGGTCTAAAGCACCTACTTGGAACAAGCTTAGCAAAGCACAGGGACCACAGTTCAATCCCCAGCACCACATGCCAGCCCCGCCCCCTGGTGGGCTGAGCTGGCCACACACACACACACACACACACACACACACACAAATAAATGTTAAAAAAATAAATAAAATTTTTTTTAAAAAGACAGGTCATTAAAGCTAGAGAAAGCAAGGTGGAACAGGGATTACATGGGTGAGCTTGCAACTCCTGGAGCACCAAGGGCACCTGCTATGTGCAGCCTGTCCCTTGCAGCCCACCTTTACAGACAGGCATGCAAAGAGATGAAACTGCCCTGGGAAATAACCATGTAGCCTCTCAGAAAACCACACGAAGGCCCAAGATCCCAGCTACACCACTTAGGATTCTCCTCAGAGAAATGCAACCAAAGATACCAGGGGCTGTCCGCTGGCCTATAATGAAAACGAAGAATAAAGCAAGTGTCTCCAGTTGTGGGCCACTATACAACATTTAAAAGGACTGAGCTACCAGAACCCAAGCCACGTGCAGTGGTGTGCACCTGTGGTCCCAGCTACTGCAGAGGCTGAGGCAGGAGGATCACTTGGACCAGAGAATCTAAGGCCAGCCTTGGCAACATCGGAGTACCCTTCTGCAAAAGACACAAGATGACAGAGCATGAACTACAGTGACTTTGGACACTGTGAGCCCACAGGTGACGCCACAGATCGGCCATTATACAGGTGTACACATATAGTTGGTCGTTTTTGGTTTGTTTTTTTTTAGAAAAAAATATTTGCAAAGCATGTGTTTAATAAAAATATCTGTATCCAGAATAGTTTTAAACGGCCTGAAAAATGCGCACTATGAATAGAGAGTTCTTAAATGGGAAAGAAAAAGTGACCAAAAGGGATCTCAGGGGCCGGGGAGATAACTCAGTGGAATAAGTGCTTCCCTGGCAAGCGCAAGGGCCTGAGTTCAATCCTCGGTTCTGAGAGAGAGAGAGATCTCAGCATTAGCTGAGATAATGTCTTAAAAATGTGGGCCGGGGAGATGGCTCAGTGGAATAAGTGCTTCCCTAGCAAGCGCAAGGGTCTGAGTTCAAGCCCCAGTTCCGGAAAAAAAAAAAAATGTATCATGCACCTGTAATCCCAGTTCTTGGGAGGCTGTAAATAGGCAAATCACTAAGAATCTGATCTAGTAGTGAGACCCTGAATACCCTGTAGACCTTCCCCTAATATACAAAAAAGAAAACAAAATGTAGAGGCGTCAGGTGTGGCGGTGCCCACCTGTAATCCCAGCTACTTGAGCTGCCCAAGCAGGCGGGTTGCAAGTTTAAGGCTGGTCTGGGCAAGTTAGCCACACCTGCCACAAAATATAAAAATAAAAACGGTTTGGGAAAGGGGAAGTGCTGGTGTGGCTCAGTTATAAAGCACTACTAGGTGTTTTAATAAATAGAAAGGGGCAGGAAGAGAGCACAGTGGCTTAAGTGCCTGCACGGCAAGCGCAAGGTCCTGAGTTTAATCCCTGGTACAAAAAAAAGGAAAGAAAAGAGTAGAGAGAGAGAGAAGGAAAGAAAGAAGCCAAGTGACAAAAGATTAACAGTTACTTACAGGCAATCGATAGCTTTACCCTTTTGTAATTTCCAAACTCTAGCGGCCTCAGATCACCTGAGTGAACAAGATGCTCTCTCTGCTCGGGGCGCCAGGGCGCCAGGAGAGCCTGTGGAGAGCTACACATGCAGTGAGAAGGTGCTGAGGGGCTTCCACCTGTATCCTCCACATCTGTCTGCATCCTGCTCGGCCCGTGTATATTCCCCTCACGCATTCTACGACCTTATCCTGAACTACACATCAGTTCAGCTCACTCTGTGGCATACCTATAAATTTTGATCACTCACACACACAAAATCCATTATCCGGTTCTTAAGTGCAACTGTGCACCTCACAGCTCCTGAAGGTCAAAGGGCCCCGAAGACACATGATGGACCTGAGTGTGACAGGTGGGAAAAAAAGCTGAACATTCCTTGCCCTCATTTTATTTTATTTTTATGTTAGTACAGAGTCTACAGGGTCTGCAGGGTCTCACTACATAGATCCGACTCGTAGTGATTCTCCTGCTTTCAGCCTCCCAAGCGCTGGCCTTACAGGCGTGCACCACCACGCCCAGACTCCTTGCCTTGCTTTTAAAATGTAAAAGCCGGTCTGTTGGTCCATCCAGGATAAGGAGCTAATAAGAAATACTCTTACAAGTTTGTAAGATGAAGACAGATACCCTAAGAGAAAACGTGTCAACTAATCAGGAAATTTTAAAAAGGTGCATAAAACCCAAAGACATGAGAATCAAACAGCCGCCACTTCGGGGTGGGGCTCCACAGCTTCATCTCACTCGACACCGATGCCACCCACGGGGCAGCACTTGTCCCCTCACCGCACAGCCCGGGAGGACCTGCACAGAGGCTTCTGCGCGCAGCCTTCCTCGGGTGCGAGCCCAAGGGCTGGATGGCCACAGCAAAGCCCTCAGTGCCACCACGCGGCCCCACTTTGGGACGTGAGCCCTAAGATACTTCCCCACACCCTCGAGCACAGAGGTAGGGTGTGAAAGGAGTGATAGAAAGCCCAGGGCCAGCCAGGACGCAGCGCGCGGAGCCGGGTGTGCCCACTCTGCAGGTGAACACGCCCAGGGCAGCAGCGGGCGTGTGCGCGGGACGAGAGGCCCCAGGGAATGCTCAGAGCGCCTTAGCTTCGCCGCGCGGGTCTCCGACGATTCACACTTTCTTCCTTTGTTGGGATGTTGGTCACCTGTCGTTTTTACCTAAATACGACTGGAGACGTGTATCAGGGGTCCGACAAGGCGGGCGAGCCCCGGCCCACGCGTCCCCTGGAGCAGCCGCTCCCCGCCCACTCCGGCCCCCGCTGCCACCCGGGAAGACGCACCCAACCTTCCCGAGCGCGCACCCCGGCCCTCTGCAGACGCAGGTCAGCAGGAGCTGAAACCCCTCTCAAGCCCTTCTCGGCTGGGCCCCCGAGTTCCAGGCCCAAAGGGGCGCGCGCGGAAGCTCGAATCCGAGGAAGCCCGCGGGCGACTCGCCTGCCCGCCTGGGTCCGCGGCGGCCTGGCCCGAGGCCCGGCCCCCAGCCCTCGCCCG